GTGTGTGTGTGTGTGTGCGTGTGTGTGCGTGTATGTATGTGTGTGTGCTGCGAGGAAGGGCGACCCGAGCTGTGCGGCCAGTTTGAGCCGAATGCATCGTCCCCAGTTTTGAGGTGAACGCCTTCTCATTCACAAGTACGCCTCATTTTGCAGCAATTCAGGAGTGCGCTAAATGTTGCTGGCGGTGTGCCCACATTTGCAGACGGCGTTGTTGGATCGGTTCCAATGAATCTGTCTGCGAGGGCGGGGCGTGGGAGGGAGGAGGTTGGGAAGGCGTGCACCCTGCGAACGGGTGGCACTGGCATTTCCGGAGGCGTGCTCGGCGGCATCTTCGCAGTTCCCAGTTGTTCGGACGGTGGTGGTTGTTTGTCAGCAACTACGGCTGCTGCTGCTGGCGCTCGCAGTGCTTCTTCAAAATTCGATAATTTTATTTCCGGCTGCGCACTGCTCATACGCTTGCAAGTGGTGCCCATCGGGAACATTGCCAAGCATGCGAGAGCGTCTTCGCCGCTGCCGTTGTCTGGATGTTCCGAAACGCTGCTCCCTTTACTAAAGCACACACACACACACACACATTTGGGAAATTATTCACAAGACTCCGGCGAAAGCAGCCAAAAAAGAAAAAAATTCTCATTACTGTGCGTAAGTGTTAGTGCAGCACGGGAAGTTCTAGCTCTGTGCGGATATACGAAAACGCCGGATGTAGCCGAAACGGCGTTTCGTTCTTTGTGCGTCGAACTTCAGATGGCACTCGAGCTTGGTCGTCGGAGAGCAGTTGTTCCTCTCTCAGCTTTTCTAACGGCTCTTTGCCACATACAGCTCAATCCGATGTTCCAGACAAGCGTGCGTCACGCACGCACTCACATACGTAGCCGTTGAAAGGAACTAGTTAGTACCTCTGTATATCGGGCGTTCTGAGTGAGCGCTTTTGGCCAGGCTGGTGCAACGTCGCTCATCACGTAAAGCAGTGGCGGAGGAGCCGTATGTCGGCCCGATGGCACTGCTTCCTTCCAGTCCCCAGCTACAGGATGGTTAGGTACTGGCATTCGTTGATGATGGCTTGCCCTGATTAAGAGGCAATTTAGGCAGAAGGCCGTGTTTTGGTGCGACATTTGTGCTGCAGGTGCACAACTTCTAAGGTGTGAATGGCACTCAACGAAACAGTCTGCGTGGCCTTTTTGTTATGCTTTTTTTGCAGCTATGCAATGCAGAAAACGCATATTGACGAACGGTTGTCTGTGTGTGTGTGTCTGTGTGTTCGTGTGCGTGTCGGTCACAGTTTTTCATCTCAAGACCTACAAAAGCTGCAGAGCTGAAGCTTTGGGAACTTCATCTACATAAACGTACGGCCCCAATCCCCAAAATGAGCGTTTTTACTCGCGTGGTACCCACGTAAAGGGCCCGCCAAAGTTTTTTTCGGGTATGCCGCTAACTCGAGAATTTGAAAAGCTAGAAGACTGTAATTTTAAGAGGATATTCCCCACCCACCGAAGTCTCATTGAGCTCAAACCCAGTCTCCGGGTATGCGTGATATCCACGTACGGACCCGTGAAAATTCTTTTTGGACAAGTTGACAACTCGAGAATTTGAAAAGCTAGAAGACTGTAATTTTAAGGGAATATTCCCCGCCCACCTAAGTCTCATTGAGCTCAAACCTAGCCCCCGGATATGGGTCATTCCCACGTATGGGCCTGTGAAAGACTTTTTTGTGTAAGTTACTAATTTAAGGATAAGCTCGGGAACCTGAGAAGCAAGAAGACTGGAATTTCGAAGGGATATTTCCTGACAGTCGTGGCGGCCAGTTTGAAATTCTTTTAAAGTTAGAAGCACCTGCCGGGAAAAACAGTGCCGTTGGTGACAAAAATCTGCGGGGAACAATGCAAAAAACGCATCTTCGCACGGGTAGCCCGTGCGTCGAGCAGTTATTTTTGCTTTTTATAGTCTACTCTGCGAGAGTAGCTAGGGCGGCCTGCGCAGCAGCACACGCAACGAAGAACTGGTTGCTGACGCGTGGTTCTGAATAGTATTCATAGCTATTTGCTGGGTTTAAAAATTAGTGTGAACTTTTGGCGGCGAGATGAAAGTGTCCTTGACGTGGTTGTGAGCCAGCAAACATGCACACCTGTCAGTAAACGGGGAGACCGACCTTTTCAGGGATAAAAGGAGGGCTGGGCTCCGCGTCACTGAAACGCACAATGAATGAACGGTGGGAAGCGGACAAGAGCGTTGTGGAAGGCGCCGCACAGTGTCCCACTACTGGTGCTTGTCTAGACGGAGGTGCGTTTGCTTTGCTGGCTGGATCAGTGCTGCGCCGAGTGCGTGGCTCCAGAAATCCAGGCGACTGCTGCCGCTGCTATCACTCTTGCGACCCGTAGTGCCAAAGCGTTGCTGAAGCAGCTGCAGTATGTAATTTGGAGCTGGGAACGGCCTTCGCATCATATGAGAAAATTATGTTTGCGTTGTTTGCTATTCGTTATTCACTGTCACTAATTGCTTCTCACACAACACATGCTTGGATAATGTTCTCAAGGAACCCTTTAACACACTTCCTCCTGCCGACTTTGACCGTCGGATGAAGGAACACGGGAGGGTCGCTAGTGGGAAGCGGGGGAAAGTGCGTAACATAAGGACCCCAAAGCAACAAGCGTAGGCGCGCTTTAGTGTTGGCAACCAGCCAGAGTAACTGTGAGCAGAACTGAGTCATTCGGTTGAAAGCGGCCGTAACAAGTTGTTCATCGGCGGAGAGCAACTGCGGAGAGGCAGCGCGAAGATGTGCTGATGTAAAATTAAAGCTCTTCACAGCGCTAGCGCCAAATTTCATAGTATTTTCAAAATCATCGCTCTTCAAGCGTTTCAGAAATCAAATTTTTACTGGGATAAGTCGGATGCAGTTGACTTGCATAGGCCAGCTGTCTGACCAACCGCATTTAGGTCAGCATCAGGCTTTCCTGGAAATCGAAGAGCCGACTTGTAGAGACGCTGAGGAGATGGCGTTGTTGGGAATTGTACTGGAGGCTTCAGCCTTATTAATAGTTCTGCCTCACAGGTACTTTGAAGAGCTAAGCAAGCGGAAAGTAACTATCTCTGCACTTTCCTTCCCTCGGGATCGTTCGTTTGGTGGTGCATTTATGAAATACAAAGCAGACAACCGAACCACACACTCACCCTTTCACGCGTTTTTTTTTTTTAAGAAAAGGAAGTTTGTTTTTGGATTTTCACTGTATAAGCAAAGTTTTATCTGGGTGTGTATGCGTACTGCTTAGCGATGTTTCGTGTCTCATCTCTTACATGAGGAATTTCACTGCTCATTTACACTCACTGCTTTTCTGTGACTCATATGACCTGTTGTCGTTCGAGCATTCTGTGGCCTGTTGCTCACCGACCACTCACCGCAATATTATCCACTTTTCCGCGGAGTACACGCTGAGTCATAGATGTGCGCGAAGCCATTGAAACTTGCCTCTTCGTGCGGTTGTCACATTTCGAATGCTGGATTACAAGGTAGGCAGTGTCGAGAACTGGTTTGCATGCATTCGAAGAATTTGCCATGCTATCGAGGCCTAGGCTCTAACCTCTGGGCAGCAGTGAAGGCACGATGTGATTATTGCTGAAGTTTGCAAAAAAGATGCTGAAGCATGCTTGCGTTAGCTCTATGCGTCTTTTATGTATTGCAGTGTAATGGGCATTTCCAGTTCACTTTCCTTAAAATGGATAACGCGAGGAAGCCTCTGTGCAATAAAAAACTCGAGTCGCCCATTCTGAGTATGCTTGTGAGCTAGAGCATCAGTACGATTTGAGCGTTTCCTAAAAATTGCTGCATATTGTTAGCTGAAATACAGACCTCATTACTGCGCTGCACGGAGCAGAGTTGATCAATCATCTCTGGTGGAATTCTTGGATCGCTGTAGCACTGAGAGTCGGATGAATGTGAGCGAGGAATGCAAGACATTCAGCTGATTTGCTTTTCCTTTCCTGTTTCGTGCACTTAGCTTGCTGGGATCTGGTTTTCCGGTCTGCATTGCAGCGTGCCTTCTCCCTCCTTATTATTTTCGCGTGTGTTTTGCTGAACTGAGTGTCTTTTGACCTTCGATGACGCAAAACAAAACGCAGCTACGCCCATTTTGACTGTGTGCAAGTAGACAGAGCGCGCGGAACATGCTAGCTGTTCTACTCAGAAGTTTTTCTCTCAGCCCGTCCGGAATTTCGTTTTCGCTTCGCAGAATTGAATTGTTCATTTTTGTTTCGTTCGGAAGCAGAGAGGGGGACATAATGTCGTATCTGTCTAGCCCCTGCGCATTTTTCGCAGAATGTATTCCCATCGGGAGAGGATTGGGGATTTGGCAGCCAGCTTGACACGTTCCAAATGTGCATTCAGTTTGCTCGGTGCTGGATTTGACTGGCATAAACCTGCAAGGGAACATGGAAAAGAGTACAGGTGGGAAGGCGGCCGTACGCATGGCGGCACGGAGAGCACATTTGCGAAGTAATGATGTGCGAAAACTACCATCATCAGCAGCAGCGCGATAATCAGCCGCAACGCCCAACTGGACTTAATCCTCTTGTTGATGTGACGCCGCATATATTTCACATTTCATTACTGTTATCATTATTGTTGTTATTACCGTCGTTGCAATCGTTATCGTTGTTGGCATTGTCGTCGTCATCACCAATCATTATCATTATCAGTGCCGGCGGTGTCTGCCGCGTCTGTTCGGCACTAGTTCCATTCGCCTACTGCATCGTCTTCATTGCTTATTCATTTTTAATTTGTATGCAGATTTAACATGCTTTTTGACCTGTGTGCGGGTGCACCGGTGCTGCTGTTGAATTTCAGCTGCTTGCCGCCTATTTGTTCACTGCCTCTTCTGGTTCTGTATGTGAGCGAGGGAGCCAGTTATTAATAAAATGAAGATTAACAAAGTATGGCGAGGGACGAATGCTAACGCATCCAGAATATTAATTCTGCTGTTTATATCACCACACATCCATTTCCTCGAGTTTTTATTGGTTGTTAACGAGCAGCTGTGTTTTAACGCCTTACATCCACGCCCACCCGAATGTTCACTGAAAAAAGAAATTGGCCAAAAAGAATTTTTTTATTTTTGCCCTCTGAGGACTTTTCATGTTTCTCTGATTCCTCCCATTCAGCTTTTACGAGTGCACCAAGCCTTATCTTGATCTGTTATTTTTGCAACAGCGATACGCACTCGCCACATGATTCGTCTCGTCAGACATGAAACGGTCATTTCCTTTAAAAGGGCGGACTGTTAGCTGGTAAAATTTGTTACCCAATAAGCCACTGCTTTGCAGGCTGCCAAAATCGACTGATGAACAGTGACTACGCTGAACGGGGACCGAGCAAAGCGGTCAGTGTGGAAACCAAATGCTGCGCCAAGCGAGTCAGCAAGTATGGCTGGCGCTTATTTATGGAGGAAGTTGAAAAGCTTTCTTTGGTAGGTGAAGGCTTCCCGCATTTACCTTTTTTATATTGCTCCATCTTTCGTCATTTTTACTGTTATTATTAAGCGGGAAATTAAAGAACAAGGGCAGTCTGTTTGAGGGTGGTCAGTGAGAGATTGTGATTTTTCATTTACTGCTTCACTAGACCACAAATCACTCGTTTCCTTATCCAGTCATTCATTTAGTCATTCATTTTGCTTCTCTTTCTTTTTCTTGACTCGTCTACTTTGTGTATTTTGCATTTTGCCTTGTAGCAGCAGTCGTCAACTTTTTGCGCCGGCAATGCGGCATGTAAACCTCACGCAAAAATAGGTTTATTTTTTTCGAGCTCGTCTGGCTTGCAAGCTCATTTCTTGGCATTCCGACTTTCAGCTGCTTTCCGGATACACATCAGCGCGTTCTCACAAACAGTTTTGTTCGCTTGAATTGGCTTACCGGCTGCAGCGAATCTACAATCGGCAAAGTCTTCCGTCGCCCCACCCTTGCAAACAGCCTCCACATGCTTCGGAGGAGTTCTTTTACTTAAAGTCTAAACAGTGCGAAATGGGAGAAAATTCATTTTCTGACTGGGTTTTTTTTTTAGAAGCTAGCAGTAGCTGGGATTTTTCAGTATTGAACTCTAGCCGCAAACTGATAATAGGCACGAATGTGACTCCTTTTTTCAAAATAAAAATTTCCGAATTGTACACGACTTTTCTCAGCTACCGCCACTGCGAAATCTGTTTCGCTCGTTCCCCGCAGTCCACACAATATATGGCGCAAAAAACTTTTCTGCGTGGCTCCGTCAGTTTTGGGGTCATCTCTGGTGTTGGCCTCTCTGGTGTTTCTGGATACGGTAGCTGAAAAGTGCGGCCAGTGCTCGCATTGATTTCCTGCAAGGGTGTGCTGAATTTATTTCCCGGCACTGTGCGAGTGAAAGAAGTCCGCAGTTTCGTTGCTGTGGATTGGCCTGAGAAGTGCAGTTGCGTGTAAGATTTGATAAGATTCTCGTCTCTTTGCGAACCACTAATCAGTCCAGGTTGCCTTGTAACCGGTGCTAGGAATGTTGCAGTTTTTGGACAGCCAAAAATTGTTTTTGCGGCTTTTTTCTCGATATTTTAGGCATTGATGTTCACACGCGTTTTTCCATTAGTGGAACCCAAGGCCATTTTTTATTTAACTTGCAAGCAGCAGATGGTGACTCTTCGGAAGCGCTGTTAACGGCAGTAGCAACAGCAACAACAGCAGCAGCAATAACAGCAACAGCAATAACAGCAGTAAGAGCAGCAACAGCAGCCACTCATCGGCAAAGCCTGTTTCAAAAACAGTTTGGGAGAAATGAGTTGGATGCTATTTTGAAGATAAGTAAAGCATGCTGACTTTACTTATGTTCGAGACGGATCTGCTAATCGTGCAGAGATCGGCACAGCGATTTCGATCAGTGGGGCGAGTAGGTCGAACGCTGCTTATCTGTGGACATTTTGTAATAATGCCCTGTGCTGACAAATGATTCGGGCATTTTTGGTAACTTTACACTGCTCTCCACTGGGTGCTGTTGACGACGGGCCGCATTTGCGGTGTGCTCCCTCTCTGTCGTGCGATAACGGAGATGCGCGACTCATCTCTTTGAGCACTTGGCTGGAATGTTCTGTTTTCTGGACGTGCAAAATCGGCATCAGCTAGACGTCCAAATTCTTCAAATTCCTTCTAAAGCAAGCGCGCAATGCGAGAGAATGTCATCGTATTATTTAACGGTTCAATTGTTCGCGGGAAATAACACCGGCTTCCGTCACATTCGCGTTTGTTATGACTCTCTGTCTCGGGGAGGTGTTCGAGTGCGATAATTTACACGAACTCGCCCCCGGTTTTCTTACAAAATTTTCTGACTTTCAAAAATACGATGCAGGAATGTGAGGCATTAGTGCTGAATAGCGCTCTCGTCCGACAAACGCTACAACTATGCCCGAGCTATGTGAGATTGGATTGACTTTCAGCGCGAATCCAGCCAAGCTTTTCATCTCTACGCAGTCTTTACAAAAGACTTTGCAAGTAGCATCCGATGCGATAAGCGGTGCGAAGATGTTAACGTGACCGCAGAGAGAAGTGTGATCTTCTGGGGATGAGATGGTAGCTTGCTGACATCCAATAGCCGTGATATATCCAGAAGTGGCACTCCAGCAAGTGTATCGCGACCATAACAGTTAATATTTTTGACTAGCCTTATGCCCTGTGTGTGTATGTATGTATGTATGTAAGACACCTAGTCAAATATACATTTTTATAAATACACAGTATATTAAAAGGTAATACAGAAAAAGGTGGTGAGTTCCGGAGAGCCGAAGCTTCCCAGAGCAGGAGTAAAAGCTAATAAATAGATCGAGAATTTTTGACGGGTAGTGGCCATCCCGGCAATGGGGAGGAGTGCTTTTATACCCAGGGTCAGAGATTACTAAGATAGCGAAAGTTTAACAGTGGCAGGGTGTCCAAAGTTTGAACCAGAGACAGGGGTATTGCGTCACGGCGAGGCAGTTGTTCTTCAACCTACTTTTAACAAAAACCATCAATCATTATTTGATCTGTTATATGACAAGAGTGAGAATTCGGAGAAATCCTTAGAAATTCAAGTCGGAGAATTTCAGGCTGTGTCGGAAAGTTGGTTCAGTAGCGCTGAAGTAAGCATTGGGGCGATTAACTCGGACAAGGGACAGAAATG